TTGTCATTATTATTATAAATATTATTGTTATTAATGTATAACAATGTAATATAAGTATCTTTTTCATAATAGTAATAATAATTATAAAAAGAAGGATAATAAACAAGGTTTGTCCACCATGAAGTGCTGACTACGGTAGGACTACTATTTAGAGCTAACAAGGAAAAGAGGTTATAGATCTTGCTAGCAAATACAGAAATAAGTGGCAAAAAATAACTGCTGGTGTCCTTTTTAGAAATGGTGCTTGGAGGAAGAGGAGGACGACGAGGACGAGGACGAGGAGGAGGAGGAGGAGGAGGAGGAGGAGAAAAACGAGGCAGAGAAGGAGGAGGTCGACGAAAGAGAGAAGAAAGAGAAGGAGGAGAAATAGGAGGAGGAGAAGGAGGAGGAGAAAGAATAGGAGGAGCAGGAAAAGAAATAAGAGGATGAAAAAGAGGAGAAAGAAGAGGAGAAAAACAAGGTAGAGGAGGAGGAGGAGAAAAGGGAGAAGAAGGAGGAGAAGGAGAAGAAATAGGAGGAGGAGAAAGAGGAGGAGAAAAAAGGAGGACGAGGAGGAGGAAGAGAATAAAAGAGAAAAAGAAGAAGAACCAAAAAAACACCAGAATCCAGCATCTGGCCTGGTCTCGTACCCGACATTGAGTTGCTGCAGAGCAGAACCAAGATCAGCCGCCACAGGCAGAAAGCTCGCCAAACTCGAGGCCTGTGAAAAAAAAAAAAAAAATATATATATTTTCCGCGGAGAGCTAGTTTTTTTTGTAGCTTTAAGTTATTTTTGTTTGTTTTTGTAAGGTTTTACGGCATTCGCAACTGCGTAAGGTCATATGAGCATTAAGGGGCGGATGTCAACAGAGAAGTCCAAATGGAAAATCAGGCTTATTCTGCTCACTTCTCTAGCCTCAACAGCATAAAGTCTGCTTTGACTATCAAGGCACCCCGGAAATAGCAGTTCACAAGAAAATGACAAACATACAAAAGAAGTAGAGGAAAAATGACGTTAGTAAGGAAGGGGAAAGAAAAAGCAGCAGTTCCCCATACGTTGTTCCGGCACAGTATGAGCATGACATTGATAAAACAGCCCATTTACAATTTTACTTTGGGAATGGCCTAAAGACAACTTCAGTCAGTAGCACTGCCCTGGAGGAGGGGAGGTTTAAGTCAGAGTTTCACAAAAAATGCTACGCAAATATAGGTCATATAAGTGCCAAAGATTAGAGACATTATTAGAGAGAAATGCACAAAGAAAAGAAGTACAAATGAGGACGATAAATGTTGGGTACAAGGGAAAATACTGCAGCTATTTTATACCCAAGTTTATTCCCATTTATGTAAGTCATGTTAATATCTGCTGACAACAGAGAAGAGACGAAAATTAAAATGGTATGGGCATGTCACAAGATCCACAGGACTTGCCAAAACAGTCCTACACGGAACCGTATAAGGAGATAGAAAGAAAGGAAGGCAGAGAAGGAGATGGGAGGACAACATCAAAGAGTGGACAAGGAAGACGATGGGTGACAATCTGAAGAAAGCAGGGGACAGAGAGAAATGGCGAGAGCTGGTTGTCAGATGCAGTGGCGCCCCCACGCTTGCCCCAACCATGGGATAGAAGAAGATGAAGAAGAAGAAGGAGGAGGAGGAGAAGAAGAAGAAGAAGAAGAAGAAGAAGAAGAAGAAGAAGAAGATGTAAGTCATTACAGCCCAAACACTGACGAGCGCCAGATTTCAATGCGTCAAGACACATTTACTCTTGTTATTCATTATCAACTGCTTATTATTACTATTATCATTATTAATATAACAATGTAACATCAGTATCGTATGATTTTTGAAAGTGAAACAGTTGGTTTTTTCCTTCTCTCCTAAAAAATTGTACTTCCTGGGCAAAGCACAGATGAACGGCTTGCTGACGATAACTTATTTTGTTTTGTTGACTTCTCTTTGCAGATTTTTATTTCTTTTAAGATAGCAGTTCTCTTTCGCTTGGCAAAATAACTTTTAAGAAGGCTGTTCGTTTTTTCTTCTTTTTTTTTTTGATAGGCAATATTAACTACATATGTACTTACTTACATTATTAACTAACAACTGGTATATGACATATGTATTTACTTATGGTATTAACTAACAACTGGTATATGACATATGTATTTACTTACATTATTAACTGACAACTGGTATATGACATATGTACTTACTTACATTATTAACTTACAACTGGTATATGACATATGTACTTACTTACATTATTAACTGACAACTGGTATATGACATATGTACTTACTTACATTATTAACTGACAACTGGTATATGACATATGTATTTACTTACGGTATTAACTAACAACTGGTATATGACATATGTATTTACTTACGGTATTAACTGACAACTGGTATATGACACTACATATGTATTTACTTATGGTATTAACTGACAACTGGTATATGACACTACATATGTATTTACTTACGTTATTTACTAACAACTGGTAAATGACATATGTATTTACTTACATTATTAACTAACAACTGGTAAATGACATATGTATTTACTTACGGTATTAACTGACAACTGGTATATGACACTACATATGTATTTACTTATGTTATTTACTAACAACTGGTATATGACACTACATATGTATTTACTTACGTTATTAACTAACAACTGGTATATGACATATTTATTTACTTACGTTATTTACTAACGACTGGTATACGACATTACATATGTATTTACTTACGTTATTAATTAACAACTGGTATATTAAAACATATGTATTTACTAACGGTATTAACTGACAACTGGTATATGACACTACATATGCATTTACTTACGTTATTAATTAACAACTGGAATATGACATATGTATTGAACTTACGTTATTAACTAACAACTGGTATATGACGTTGTCCTCCAGGTTGGTCGGCCTCTGACCGGTGACGTCGTTCACGATGTTTGAGAACTGCAGGGACAGATCAAAATGTTTTTTAAATGTGCAATAATTATAACATACAATGCAGATAGTTTCTGTAAAATTTTATTTTGAGAAGATTAACGAGAGAGAGAGGAGAGAAGCACACACACACTGAAATTATAGGCTAGCATCAGGGTTCACTGTTTTTTAATCACACACTTTCATCCACCAACCCCCCC